ATTACGAGAGTAGTGTTTTGACTCCTTATTCAATATTGAATCTATTGATCTTGTTAAGCTAAGTTTGAGGTAATACTTTTCTATAAATGCCTGTTTGAGTGATTGTCTACAAGCACAACTAGATTTTGAATGTGTTGACGTGATATGACACTGTATCACTGAGGCTCTGATGAGATGAAGTAGATGAACCCGTCTCACCTCCAGACATGCACAACTGCTGCTCTTCGTATTATTTATCCAAACACAGTAGAGATAAAGTATATTTGTAATACATTTCTTACTTGAAGTACGGGGGTGATGAGGTAGCTTAGTGGTTAAAGCGTTTGCTCGTCACACTGAAGACCTGGGTTCGGTTCCCCACATGGGTACAATGTGTGAAGCCCATTTCTGGTGTCCCCCACCGTGATATTGCTGGACTATTGCTTAAAGCAGTGTAAAACTAAACTCACTCATTCACTCACTCACTCACTCACTCACTGATGAAGTGCAGTGTATGTTTTGTACAACCAATCCAGCTTCCGATCTAGCGTATCAACTGACATAGATATTTTTAACAGATTGTTTAGAAAAACTAAACATGAATTTATTCTTTTGGAAATGAGTTTTTTCTGTTCCTTTGAATCCTAGACTGGCGGCAACAGAAAAAATGCATGTACCTGCCTTCTTTTATTTGGCCAAGATTTGGATGGAAATCAAATAATTAACTTATTGTAGTGTTATCTGTGTTTGCTTGAGGCAAGGTGGTGTGTTTGTGATACTGTAGTGATATGAGAACCTCTTGGCAGCGTGCCTGCTGTTGTTGTCTCTGGTCTACCCTCCAGGTAGATGTACCTACTGATGGACAGTACAAACATTGATCGTGGCAGGAGCTGTGTGCCTGGAACAGTATCTCACACAGTACTATCATAATACTGGAGTGAGAGCTGGTACTTGATAGGAAGTGCCAACACTGGATGCTGGGGATGCTGGTGAAGAGCAGTGTGTTATCAGGCCATCTGTATTGCTGGTGGTTCCTCGCTCCCATCAGTTGGTGCTAAATTTCTGAAATGCCATAACAAGATTAATGTGTTTTGTATCCATTTATTCCATTGAATTTGTCTCGTTCAACCCTGATTTTTTTTTTAATGAATCCATTAAATGTGTCATAAAAATAATCCATGCTGTACTTTATCATAAAGATGTTTGAAGAAGCAAATTAAATCGGCCTGTTCCATTTTTTATCTACTTCCTGCACTGCATTATGATCTGTAAATCTCTCAACTCAGCAAAGCAGCTGTTATGTTTCAACAATCAAACTGCGACATATTTTTACATTTATCTCAGGCAACAGATAATTTATCAGTTGTACTCCTGAATGAAAGCAGGTCTGTTAATTTCAATCATTTTTTGATTATTCAGACTGACTTAATTATTTTTATTCTGGCCAACCACTCTGTGTGCAGGTAGGATATGAGGAACACAATATATGATGTATTGTCTTGTTGGACTGCTTCATAGCTCTTGTCCAACGTCAAAGTACTTCAGGTAGCCAGTAGGAACAGTGAAATAGAAACATCACAGGACTCATGGGACAGTGGGGTAGCCTAGTGGTTAAAGCGTTCGCTCGTCTCACTGAAGACCAAGGTTTGATTCCCCACATGGTACAGTGTGAAGCCCATTTCTGGTGCCCCCCGCCGTGATATTGCTGGAATATTGCTAAAAGCAGCGTAAAACTAAACTCATTCATTCACAGGACTCACAGAAACTGGCCAAAACAAATATGTCTGCCAAAGATGCTCTGCTGTCAGACATGCCTTGTTAAAGTGACTGTTTCATTCAGCTTGGATAAGAAGGAAAACTTTGGTTATAACAACATTGTTGTATTATTTCATGCAGATATTTCCTGTATTTGCTTTGACTTTTGTTATAGTCTGTTAATGTTATTTAATGCAACAATCATCAATATTCCTGCGATATCTTTAAGGCTTGGGTCATAGAAGCATCAGCTGCTTTATGAACAACATCCCCACCTGTGACAGCATCTTAATGAAGGAACAGGTCTACGGAGCTGCCAACGACAGGATAATTTGTTGTATTAAATATATGATCTGTTTTCAGTGCGATATCTTTTGTGAATACATTGTGTCTGTTTGCCAAGACACTGCAGTACTCTCGCAATTATCAGTTTGTCAGTGTTGCCAAATAGTCAAATGGTGGCTGTGTATAGTAAATCTTTGGGGAAATCGGTTTTAAGTGAGTAGATAATTTAAAACCCCACAGGGATGGTTGACCTACTGAGTCGCATCCTTTATAGGTGGCAGAATCCTTTGTTAGCGGAGTCTTCGATAAGCATTAAGAAGGTGAAAGAACATGAATATACAACACCATTTTTGGATAACTGTTTCTTTCATTCTGTTTGAAGCCCATTTCTGGTGTCCCCTGCCATGATATTGCTGGAATGTTGCTAAAAACGGTGTAAAACCACACCCACTCTTTCATTCTGTCACAACATTTCGGGGTACTTCTTGCTGCTTCATCAGGTGAACGCTGAATAGGTGCATAGAGTTGATATATATATGATATTTACACAGGCCAAGCAGAGATGAATGTACAAAGATAGCAATGTAATGACAAAGCCAGTTAGTGGGTTCAAATCTGAGTTTACCCGTGTGTCCAGTTTTGTGAGAACCATACCTATGAGCTTTCCATCACATCAAGCAGACGCACTATGATATGACTGAAATGCTATTGAAACTTGCAGTTTTAATGAAACCACCAATCTGAAAGGCTGTATATCCCATGAGAGATTGTTTGTTGATTGTGTGTGGAAGTTCAAGATGTTCGTTGAGGAACGTGACTTGCCTGAATGGCATGTTGCTCTCTGTTTGACGACCGATTTTGTGGTTCAATAAGTACTATGATAAGGATCTATATTGACTTTTTAGCACAGATTTCTTCAGAACTTCCATGGAAATGTACATCCAAGCATGACTCAAGCTGACTATTCTTTTCTGTTCCTGAAGCTGATGCAACTAGGTGTTGTGTACTTAGGACAAGAATTTAAGTTCAACCAGTTCAACTTTTATTTGAGTCCAAGAATTGATTTACATTCTGGGTGGGGACAGTTGACACACGGATTGATAATGTTCCATATGTGGCCAAATTTACTGAAACTAGAATGACGTTTAATGATTTCTGTATGCTGAAGTTTTTACGTTTGACGTCACTTGTTGCCACTGTTTCTTTGCAAGGTTGACATGTGTACTGGTGATTTAATTAATATTTATATCTTGAAATATTGTTTGCTTTAGAATAAACAAAATAGGTCTGTGTGTATTGTATGTATTCTCACATTTCACACAAGCAATTATCTGAGAAAGCACCCATGAAGATCTGGGTTATAATTGATCTTCAGTAATCTATGCTTGTCGTAAGAGGCGACTAACGGGATCGGGTGGTCAGGCTTGCTGACTTGGTTGACACATGTCATCAGTTCCCAATTGCGCAGATTGATGCTCATGCTGTTGATGAGGCTTGATTATTTACAAACCTCCACCATGTAGCTGGAATACTGCTGAGTGTGGCGTAAAACTAAACTCACTGTTCTGAGAAAGAAGGGAAATATTGTTTGCAAGAGAATAAACAAAATAGGTCTGTGTGTATGTATTCTCCCACTTCACACAAGCAGTTATTCTAAAAAAGAAGGCACACTGTCACAGCCAGAAGCAGATCAGCTTTACGTCGGAGATAGATTTCCAACAAAGTTTTATGTATTTGTAATACAAATGCTGTTTGTTTCTGATTTGAGCTGAAATACAAATAAACTGTCTTCAGTGTTAACAGGCACAATCAAAAGGCAGCTCTATAACAATGGATTTTGTTAACACTGTTAAAACAGCATGTGTGTTTCTCCCATAAACAGAGGCAAAAACAGAATTAGGTTCTCTCATTAAGCAATATCCTCCAAATCACACAAACATGTCAACGGCCCCTAGAAATTAGCTTTTGATGAAGGCGCCTGGCGTTAGATGTTACCCAGCATCCCTGCTCACCAGGGGGGGCATCTTCACCTGCCTGCAGCAGCAGCAGCAGAAAGAGTCCCTCATGCATGCTCGTTTAACACTGTATTACCTGCACTGTATCAGTCACCTGTGATTGCTTGGTAAGCCTCACTCAAGCATTGCACTTCTCTGTTGTTCTCATTGGCTGGGCTTGTGTGGTGGATGTCATGTGTGTTGTAGTTCACGGTTTACCCTGATGACTTGCTGATATGAATCATTAGTAGTACCCTAGTTAACTCGCTCAGTAGTCACGTCCGTTTTTGTCATTTCACACATTTAGGCATTTTTTGGGTTGCTAGGTTTCACAAGTCAGGAACTTTGGAATTTTAAATACATATACTTATACTTTTGTATGTGTTGTTGTTCAGCTGTGAAATTTTAAGGTTTTCTAACATTTTGTAAATAGATGATCATCATTTAGTGGTATTATTATTATGTTCACATTTTTGAATGTTTTTGTTCAAATTCAGTGATGTATATCACTTCTGACCGCTATGGCTTTAAACTTACCCTATTCAGTTGTTTACATTAGTACTTTTTAAACAAGTGCCTGAAATTGAAGTAACATGAATTTATCAAGTTTTGTACAATTTTATGTATGACAGTCTGTCATATAAATATTTTTTTCATTTGACAGAAAGAATGAGGTAGATATTTTTCTGAAAGTGAATGAAATAAACCAAACTCATTGATATTAATAAATTCGTATTCGTGCCAGGAGGCAGTCATCAGGTTAAAAGTTTCGCTGCAGCATCTCAGTGGTGTCACTATCTGTCTAGATTAAACAACAACTTGATTGTAAAGTCAGCATGCACAACACAAGCTTGCCAACACATCTTTTACAGGTTTGAAGGCCCTGTTTAAATATTAAACTGCGGCGAGACACTCTGAAGACTAAGTTTGAGATTAATTGCGCTATGGTGCATCTGATAATTATATGCGCTGTTTGTTTTCTTTCAGATGGTCTGAGGTAAACAGGAGCGACCTGTAGTTGCGATCTTCGTTATCATCGTTAGCCTGACCTGTTGGTGTCGCAAGCCGCTGCTTGATTGGTCGCCCAGCTGCCCCTCGCTGCTAGGTCTTGAATGTACTACTAACACAGAGGCTTAGGGAATAACCTAAGAGACATAACCCAGTTGCAGCAGCAGCAGCAACAGCAGCAGCAGCAGCGTGAATATTGTGTGTGAATCTGTGGTACTTTTTTGTTGATCATCAACTTGTGTTGTCACATTGCTTTCGCATCTGGAAACATTTGGAGCTGTGTTTATGCGTGGAGATGACTGTTTGTTTTCAGTGGAAAGAATATGCTGGAGATTCCACCAGGTAAAAATTAAATCTCCTTAAGACCTAACAGAATTATCTTATTGGTTTCCTCCATTGCCAAGACTGATGAATGATTTCATCGTCAGTCGTAACATATCTCAAGTGACCAAGTTTGAAATTCTGTGCAAGCCAACCAACAACATGGCATTCATGTCAGACAACAGTGATAGTGGGAGCGAGGACATGAGATATAACGGCACCTCAAAACACATGAACGGTAAGGAGGAAAACAGTATATGCAGAGACTTTCTACGGAATGTGTGCAAAAGGGGCAAACGATGTCGTTATCGCCATCCAACTATCACCGAAGCAAAAGATCTAGGCAAGAAACAGGAGTTCACATTTTGCCATGATTTCCAGAACACTGGTTGCCGAGAGGCGTCGTGTAAGTTCTTGCATTGTACGAGGGAGGAAGAGGAATATTACCTACAAACAGCACAACTACCTGTTCGACTCCAGCAGCAGGCAGCATTAGGGGTGGGATCAGTTGCACATTCCCTACCCATTCTGAAAGGAGAGGTGCCCATTTGTAAGGATTACTTAAAACGTGAATGCAAACGTGGAGCGAAGTGTAAATATCGCCACCTTTCAGGTCAGGAATATGACTTTGAAATGCGCAAAACTGACATTAGGACACCCCGAGTTCTGCCTTTCAATAACTATGAAAATGATAGTTATGACAGGTTCGAGTATGGGCATGGCCCGCTGAAAAGAAGGCGACTTGATTCTGAAGGATATGGTAACTATATCGACGGACGCTACCCTCCACCAATGCGCTCATTAAGCGTCCAAATGCTTGAAGATGAAAATAACATGTTGCGGCGCAAAGTTGAAGAACTTAAGAAACAAGTCGCAGATTTGACTGCAACAAACGAGGTCCTTCTCGAGCAAAATGCGCGCTACCGCGTCAGCAAATCCACAGCGATAATGACGCCTGCAGTGACTGTTGCTGGCACTGGGGCTACGTTGAACCACCTCAGCACAAGCTTGTCCCAGCAGATAGCGCTGAACAGTGAAATGGCCACCCAACATGCGTTGCAAACAGCTCAGCGATTCGCGCGGGAGATGGTGCATGCTCCAAACCAATCGGCGCTCGCAGCCCAATCCATAAACCCATCAGTGACACTGAACCCATCCACTATGGTGTCGCTAACGCCAGCGTCGCTGCAGCAAAACCCTCTACAAGGTGCTGGTACCATTACACAGAGTATTCCACAAAACTTGGCTGGCCAGAGTGCTTCTCTAGTGTCCTACCCCATCGTGTCCCAGAGCATTAGGGTGGCGGGGGTGCCGAGCAGTATGGCACATTGAAAATGTGTGTGTACATAGTAAGTACATTGCAGCATCTGCTTTTGATTTTCTGCGCTTCATTTGATAGCACTTTATTCTTTCATCAACAAATAAAGATTTGTGATATGAAACCAGATTTGAATGTGGCATTTGTTCTGGATTTGTCATTTTTTGTGTGAGAGGACATATACTGTGTGTTTCTGCGGTTGGAACTTGCAAGCAGTGGTGTACCATACCCTCTTCAGAACAAGTCATGCCTTCTGTAGATCTCAATACCAACAACACACACAGGTTATAGTGATTCACAAACAGAGTACTGTGCATTCAGCCAGTCGGACGACTCACTATGACAAGAGTGTAGAGAAACACACCAATCAGATGTCTCCTTTTGTAGGTCTGTTTTTGAGTGCATCATAGGTCCTGGAAAGATATGGCTGCATTTGTTTAATGACTGTCAGAAACAGGTGAATCCTGCCAAATCTGGGATGTGACTGTTGAAATGAACTGCTACTGTTGAGGAAAGTAGTGTCGAAAACATACTGTATGTTTTGGATGAATACATAGCCTGTTAATTGTCAGCCAAAACATGTTCAGTCAAGTGTACAAGGTTACACTGTGTTAAAATTGTTATTTTAAGAGCAGGAAATTGATGAGACTTCTGATTAAGAAGTAATTGTACAGATGCATATCACAGAATATAGTATTCAGTGCAAATATGTAAGTGTAAATATTCTGAATATAAAGACTGTCACCTGAACATATTGTACTAAATTAGTGTCTGCAGGGCGGTGGAGTAGCATAGTGTTTAAAGTGTTCGCTCGTCGAACCGGAGGCCCGGGTTCGATTCCCCACATGGGTACAATGTGTGTAGCCCATTTCTAGTGTCCCTTACCGTGATATTGCTGGAATATTGCTAAAAGCGGCTACAAAACCAACTCACTCACTGATAGGTGTCTGCAAGCAACACTTGTATTTGTACCAGTATTAGCTGACATTTGCAGTTTAATTTAAGTAAAGGTGAGGTCCACTTGTCTTCAACCGACGTGATCTGTGTCTCATTTTATTCTGACATTTAAACTTGATGCTGTCTGTAATATTACATCTGAATCATTCAAGCCTGTGGGGCTTAGTTTAGAATAGGTCCCAGTGATCTGTTGGATGTCATAAGAGGCGATTTAATTGGATGTTGTTGACTTGGATTTGGTTGATCGTGTGTCACCATACCCCAAGGACCTGGGATACTAGTCATAATATATACTGCTAATTGTCAGACCTGATTTAGAATATATGCAGGCAACAGTACGGCTGGAATAATGCAGAGGCAGCCCTACAAGTATGAAATGATCCCTCAAGAATTGGATGCAATTTTACTAAAAACTTTCTGTCTGAGATGTAATGCAGGTGACATTTCGAACACGTTTTTTGCACATCACAAACATGTCAGCTATATAACTGCTAACCAGTACACAGGCATACACCTACACAAACCCTGAGTACATTCCCATTAGTCTTGCAATTGCAAATTATCTCCCCCTTTATTTACATTTTACTGACCAATCACATGACAACAAAGGGTAAGGAGGTAACTTGTATGACCTAAATCAAAGACATGCTTACCATAAAAGAGATTTTTTAGGGCCTTCTTACAGTCAGGTTTTCAGCATTGAATTTCTTTGAAATACACAATGCCATTTTAGAAAGTGGTCAAATGTAACATATGTTATATTTGGGATTACACTTCTTAGTAAAGCACAGATTCTAGTACTTTTTTGGGTTGAGTACCATCCGGGATTCGAACCCGCACCCTCAGAGTCATGCACCTAATCGCCCATTCGTAACTACTAGCCTCTTTCCGTGACCTACAAGAAGACTCCTACCCCTATCGTACGCCATTATTGCCAAGAATCGTGGCAAACCAATCAAATTGCGCGTAGTAAAACGCATTTCGAAGCATGAAAATGGCGGCACCGTTGAATTTGAAACTTCGGTAAACTATTCAAAGCACAATTTAAACACACTTTGACTTAAAGGATCATAAACTTTAAACACTGAAACATATTTATAAAGGAAATGACTGTATTGCTGTTTTGCCCACGGGATATAGGATATTCTAGGAGCCATGTTTGGAAATTCAGTGTTATCTTTCCTTGGTATGGTACTAGACTATTTTCATCTCAATGCCCGTTTGCGCTTAGACAGGGCCCAGTCGTAAACATGGCCACGAGAGAGTTAGAGACACCATCCGGCTTGCCGGAATGACACGAGTAGTTACGAATGCTAATCGCCAGCCGTGCCAGTTAACACTTATCAGAGGGGTACACAAAGTCCGCAGTCTAGACTACCAGTTGTCCGACTTCAATTGTTGTGGAAGCTGCGGTGGCTGAGCGGTCTAGGCGTCTGACTTTGTGTGCTGGCAATAAGGTGCCTGACTCTGAGGGTGCAGGTTCGAATCCCGGATGAGACTCAACCCAAACAGTACTAGAATCTGTACTTTACTACGAAAGTGTAATCCCAAATATAACATATGTTACATTTGACCACTTTCTAAAATGGCATTGTGTATTTCATAGCTTTCGGCCATGGGAGCCGTGCCACAAAGGGGTACACAAAGTCCGCAGTCTAGACTACCAGTTGTCCGACTTCCATTTTTGTGGAAGCCGCGGTGGCTGAGCGGTCTAGGCGTCTGACTTTGTGTGCTGGCAATAAGGTGCCTGACTCTGAGGGTGCAGGTTGGAATCCCCAAAAGTACTAGTAATCTGTACTTTACTAAGAAAGTGTAATCCCAAAATAACTTATGTTACATTGAATTTCTTGCAAACTCAAACATAATCAATGGGACGGGCGACCAAGTTTGTTGATATTGACAATATGACATTGAAGTAGGTTTGTAACTAGAATTCAGATTGGTACATAAGACAGGCAACTGGAAATCAAGGGCAGGTAATCTGAGATTCGGGAAACTAGGGTAATGCATCCAAGGCGTTAGTGTTACTTAGGTTTACCGAAATGCAACCCCTAGAGACAGAGTATGCTTACAGCAGGGCTTTTTACTTAATTTAACTGTAAGAAGAATAATGCCTTTTCGTTTACAAAAATTGTTTTGGATCTGTTCAGTTTGAAATTAAGCGTGTCTTGTTTCTAAAAAGTCAGAGATGATTGACCAAGGCAATGAGACCATCAGTTTGTATAGGGAAGAGACAAGTCCTTCAGTCAACTGTGCCTCAACTGGTGTGTGTTTCATTATAGATAATACTGACTGAAGCATTGTAATACACCATTACATGTCCATCAGTGCTAATCCACCACCAATTTCAGAGTGAGTGAAAGAGTGAATGATGCTTAGGGACAGTCAGCTATGTCACACCAAGATCTTGTTGGGTTGAAATTATTCTGATCCCAAGATTTTGGGCTGAAATCAAATGGTGGACTTTCAAAACCTTTTTCATGACTTATTTAACTATTTATATGACTTTTTTTGACATTATCAATTTTACAAAGAACTTTTAGGGAAATTTTGGATGAGAACCGATCCAAAAATGAGTTATGATTGGATGTAGGTGACAAGATAGGCATGGAACTTCATGGGAGCATTACTAAGTGTGAAATACACATTGTCGGAAAGCATATGTATGATCTCTAAATCACCACCACCACCATCATCATCATCATCATCATCATCATCATCATCATCAAGAAAGCTTTTGGTCAGTGGTATAAATCTTATTTCATAAAGAACAATATTGTCCTACATCCTGGCAAAGCCATGACCAGATGACCCAGTTGTTGTCAGCAACGGCAACATTTCTGTGCTATAGATGTTAATGAAACACAAGCAAGCCCTCAAGTCAGCTTGATCTCCATTTTGTTGACTGTAATAATAGGACAGGAAAACCAAGGACCTATTCAGCCCTCAGCTCTCCATGGGATCCTACTTAAGAGTTCACTTGAAATGAAATGGTTTTGTTCACCTTGAGGTAGCTGTGACTCGGCTTTTGATCTATATCAAGTACAAGCAAGGTTACTATCTCATTAAAATCACATCTTTTATTCATAAACCATACCTCTATGTCAAAGATCTGAAGACGCCTTTATAAGAGGTTGCATCAGGTTATATCAGCAACTCAGAGCTGGGGCCTCTAAGTCTTGGTACAAGTAAACAAAGCATTCAGGCCATCATATCTGATTTCTGTATTTTGAAAATACAATATCAAGACCAGAGAATAATTAGCCTTCATTATCCATCAGAACAGATTCCCTGCAGTGTTGAAGAAAAAATATTCAAAATATCCTTTCCTGAGTGTCCGTTATTAAGGCCTTTCCATTACATTGTTGTGGATATTTGATTCACCCTGCTTCTCAGCTTCATGGAATTGACACCCAACAGGGAGAACCATCAAAGTTATATTTAAATCCTTTGAGGTTCTCAATCGTTTAATTGAAATTTCTGAATTAAAAGAAGAAGCCAAATCATTTTAAAAGTTGACATCCGGCTCAAAACCCCACACATCCTTAGTTTAGATCAGGTGTCCATGGGTTTTAAGAGTTCACCTGATGCTTCTTGCTATAGGTGATCTTAAATCTTCAGCAGAGAGCTACAGTATCATAGAAAAGATCTGATTTTCATGAGATTGGTTTTCTGCGATCAAACAGGTGGAGCTGTTGGCACTGTGGCTCCCATCATGCTACTCTGTGTGTCATACATGCTTAACAATGATGTTATTTAATGCCCAGAGTTTGAAAAACACCATAGACCAATATCAAAATTCCTGATCTTCTAAATATTAATACATTCATTTTTAAACAATATGCAGTTAGGGCAAAATATTTTTATTTTTTTTATCGTTAATCAGAACGATAATACGTTCAGTCATATCTTTGGTATGATTATACAATCGGCCAGCACTGTATTAAAGTTGAATGAGTTCTTAAATCCTTAAGTTTGACACAACCGAAAAAGTATTATAAAAAAGTATGTATACAAATAGGCCAAACATTTACATCGAGACACTGTGTCAATGTAGAAGGGACTTTTGTGAATACTTCAAGTTATCCAAGTTTAACACAACTGGTGAATGAAGAAAGCATACAAAGACATTTACGGCAAGATAACCATGAGTTCGACACGCCCAAGTTTGA